TGAACTTCATCTCACACATGGATGTAACTCAGCGTGTTGAACTTCATCTCACACATGGATGTAACTCAGCGTGTTGAACCTCATCTCACACATGGATGTAACTCAGCGTATTGTACCTCATCTCACACATGGATGTAACTCAGCATGTTGAACCTCATCTCACAAATGGATGTAACTCAGCATGTTGAACCTCATCTCACACGTGGGTGCTTACAAAATTCATTGTGCAAGAAATAATGCTCTGCGTTCAGAATTGCTGTTAATTCTTTCATTATCATGAACACATGTATGTCGCCCTCTCGAGCTGACATGTAAATTTGGAATTCTGTACCACCAAGAAGAAAGGGTATTCCCCCTTCAAACATCCTAAAATTTACCATTTAAAACTTCAGATAAATAATATTAAAATTGTCTTTCTTCTTGAGAGGAGGTTTAGACATCAAAGACAGTATCCCAGGAAGAAGTTAAAACTGAGGGAAGAGTATACAGAAAGAAAGTGAATCAATCTTATTTAGAGGGGGCTACCATTAGTCTGCAGAATCTGGTGATCAAAAGTGAGGTTGAGCCTTGCTGAAGAAAGAAGTTACAAATGCTTTAGTAAGAGGGCTGTTAAAATGAAAAAAATCCACAGAAACACCAAAGGATGTAAGGATCATTACTTTTGAAGGATTCAGTCCTAAATGTACATATATATACACACATATATATATTTACTTTATGTTTCTTTCCTTTTGCTTATAAGAAGATTATATCACACAAAACTAGCTGAACCAAAAATCCTTATTATATTACTGTGGGTATAATCTACTACTAATAGATGGTACTCACCAATAGACACATCACGGTAACCCACCAGAACCCTGTGAACTTTCCTTCCATGGCAGAACCTCCCTTAAAGGCAACTAACATGAAAACCAGTGATTGTAGATACATTGCTGTGCACATATACATTCTAAATTTTAATATGGTCAACACTTACTTCTGTTTACTTCCCTCTGTCGTTTCTGGTCCATTTCCATCCTGTCTTCATCTTCCAGAGATGTATACTCATAATGAGCTTTCCTTTTGAAAAAAGATCTTATTGATTAAAACTGTAGAATAAGAAAATTGTTAAAACTGACAACAGAAACAACTCACATTAATTTTAAGGAACTAAAAAA